TATAATACGCTCCAAAAGGATAAACACAGCAAGATATGAGTGTCACAAACACTTAGCCTTATCTCTATGGTTTAGCGTTTTAAGCGAAAATAGAGCACTTTTAGCGTAAATACAGTGTATTTTAGTAATTAGGGAATCATCCCTTGATATTTTGAAACCAGCGCCAGAAGACAGGTTTTAGAACTCGGTAAGATCGTTCCAACGAGATATTAAACGCTTTCAACGGCAAACAATAGAGCAAGATATGTTCGCATCAAATTCTACACGAGTTCGGAGTGAAATCAGAAACATTTGTGAATATATGGTTAATCTGTAAGTTTTAATTAATGCATTGTAAATGAAGTTGGAAAAATAGATTTAGAGCTCCGATCTATCTTTCCAACGAGATATAATACGATCCAAACGGATAAACACACAGCAAGATATGAGTGTCACCAATACTTAGCCTTATCTCTATGATTTGGCGTTTTCAGCGAAAATAGAGCACTTTTAGCATAAATACTGTGTATTTTTGTAATTAGGCAATCATCCCTTGATATTTTGAAACCAGCGCCTGAAGACATGTTTTAGAACTCGGTAAGATCTTTCCAACTAGATATTAAACGCTTTCAATGGCAAAAAATAGAGCATGATATGATCGCATCACATTCTACACGAGTTCAGAGTGAAATCAGAAACCTTTGGGAATATATGGTTAATCTGTAACTTTTAATTAATGCATTGTAAATGAAGTTGGAACAATAGATTTAGATCTCCGATCTATCTTTCGAGCGAGATATAATACGCTTCAAACGGATAAACACACAGCAAGATATGAGTGTCACCAATACTTAGCCTTATCTCTATGATTTAGCGTTTTCAGCGAACATTGAGCACTTTTAGCGTAAATACAGTGTATTTTAGTATATAGGCAATCATCCCATGCTTTTTTGAAACCAGCGCCTGAAGACAAGTTTTAGAACTTGGTAAGATCTTTCCAACGAGATATTAAACGCTTTCAATGGCACAAAATAAAGCAAGATATGATTGCATCAAATTCTTCACGAGTTCGGAGTGAAATCAGAAACTTTTGTTTATATATGGTTAATCTATAACTTTTAATTAATGCATTGTAAATGAAGTTGGAACAATAGCTTTAGAGCTCCGATCTATCTTTACAACGAGATATAATACGCCCCAAACGGATAAACACACAGCAGGATATTAGTGTCACAAATACTTAGCCTTATCTCTAAGATTTAGCGTTTTCAGCTAAAATAGAGCACTTTTAGCGTAAATACAGTGTATTTTTAGTAATAAGGCAATAATACCTTGATTTTTTGAAACCAGCTCCTGCAGACAAGTTTAAGAACACGGTATTATCTTTCAAACGAGATATTAAACGCTTTCAACGGCACCCCAAAGAGCAAGATATGATCGCATCAAATTCTACACGAGTTCGGAGTGAAATCAGAAACATTTGTGAATATATGGTTAATATGTAACATTTAACTAATGCTTTGTAAATGAAGTTGGAACAATAGTTTTAGAGCTCCTATCTATCTTTCCAACGAGATATAGTACGCTCCAAACGGATAAACACACAGCAAGATATGAGTGTCACAAATACTTAGCCTTATCTCTACGATTTAGCGTTTTCAGCGAAAATAGAGCACTTTTAGCGTAAATACAGTGTATTTTAGTAATTAGGAAGTCATCCCTTGATATTATAAAAGAAGAGCCTGAAGACAAGTTTTAGAACTCGGTAAGATCTTTCCAACGAGACATTAAACGCTTTCAACGGTACAAATTAGAGAATGATATGATCGCATCACATTCTACACGAGTTCGGAGTGAAATCAGAAACATTTGTGAATATATGGTTAATATGTAACTATTAAATAATTAATTGTAAATGAAGTAGGAACAATAGCTTTAGATCTCCGATCTATCTTTCCAACGTGATATAATACGCTCCAAACGGATAAACACGCAGCAAGATATGAGTGTCACAAATACTTAGCCTTATCTCTATGATTTAGCGTTTTCAGCGAAAATAGGGTACTTTTAGCGTAAATACAGTGTATGTTAGTAATTAGGCATTCATCCCTTGATATTTTGAAACCAGAGCCTGAAGACAAGTTTTAGAACTCGGTAAGATCTTTCCATCGAGATATTAAACGCTTTCAACGGCACAAAATAGAGCAAGATATGATCGCATCAAATTCTACACGAGTTCGGAGTAAAATCAGAAACATTTGTGAATATATGGTTAATCTGTAACTTTTAATTAATGCATTCTAAATGAAGTTGGAACACTAGCTTTAGAGCTCCGATCTATCTTTCCAACGAGATATAATACGCCCCTAACGGATAAACACACAGCAAGATATGAGTGTCACAAATACTTAGCCTTTTCTCTATGATTTAGCATTTTCAGAGAAAATAGAGCACTTTTAGCGTAAATACAGTGTATTTTAGTAATTAGGCAATCATCCCTTGATATTCTGAAACCAGAGCCTGAAGACAAGTTTTAGAACTCGGTAAGATCTTTCCAACGACATATTAAACGCTTTCAACGGCACAAAATAGAGCATGATATGATCCCATCACATTCTACACGAGTTCGGAGTGAAATCAGAAACATTTGTGAATATATGGTTAATCTGTAACTTTAAATTAATGCATTGTAAATAAAGGTGGAACAATAGCTTTAGATCTCCGATCTATCTTTCCAACGAGATATAATACGCTCCAAATGGATAAACACACAGCAAGATATGAGTGTCACAAATACTTAGCCTTATCTCTATGATTTAGCGTTTTCAGCGAAAATAGAGCACTTTTAGCGTAAATACAGTGTACCTTAGTAATTAGGCAATCATCCCTTGATATTTTGAAACCAGCGCCTGAAGACAAGTTTTAGAAATCGGTAAGATCTTTCCAACGAGATATTAAACGCTTTCAGCGGCACAAAATAGAGCAAGATATGATCGCATCAAATTCTACACGAGTTCGGAGTAAAATCAGAAACATTTGTGAATATATGGTTAATCTGTAACTTTTAATTAATGCATTGTAAATGAAGTTGGAACAATAGCTTTAGAGCTTCGATCTATCTTTCCAACGAGATATAATTGTTGGAAAATATTCCATTTAAGTGCCCTTGGACCATTTATATAATTTAATATATTTTGGGGACATTTATGTCTTACCATTAAGTTTGCCATGTGACAGATTTGGTCCCTTATTTATGTATTGTTAACATATGATGGGTATGTTTTAACATTAAATAATACATAAGGGATCAAATGGGTTTTCTCTTTGATACAAACATAAGTACTCGTTCGGTTCTCACTCTTACGACAAAAGGAAAAGACACGCTTCTTACCAAGGGTCTCGAACACCATTATAAAAGAGACTCATATGAGAACCGATCAATCCATCACAGTAGGGATTTGTATCCTTAAAGAATCTACACATCAATGGCTTCATCGTCTTCTACGACACCATCAACATTCGGTTTCTCCTCAACCGGTTAGTGTTCTTATTGTTTGATTCTATGAATTTTATCATGTTTGTGAGATTAGATTCTTATTTGGGACTGAATTTATCAACATTTGGTATCAGAGCACTGTTAATTCTCGCTCACACGATAAAATTTGAAGTTTTCGATATAGTCTTAATAATTATTGTTCGTCGTTCATGCTTTTCATCGTGTGAAAACCGTTTACGAATTACGGAAGTAATATTGTTTTCAATTTAAATTATTAGTTTTGTCGCTGCCCCTAAATTGATTATACTATCAAACCATTATCATTATTTTGAAAAGTACTACGTGTCGTCTACATGTGAATAAATAATCCTAGTGCCTCTTGCTTTGTTATCGTGTAAAAAGTATGGGGATAATGATCAGGCCGTACATCTGGTAAGAAGTCTTTTGTCCAAATACAATAATGCAGTGTTCTAATTTGGTTTGCATGTGTGAAATTCCAGTTAGTTCTATATGTATAATACTGACACAATCTGATAGGATAATTGGGTGATTCACTTTGATTCTTATTCATTTTTAACTCACTTTGATTTGAATGAGTTTATTTGCCTTTTTGGTGGTAGAAAATGAAACTTTGATTTTTCGATACATCAGTTTAATAAGGAAGTCATATAACACTAAAAATATGTTTTGACATATTGATCGGTCTGTTTTCATTATGTTTGTTTTAAAACTAAATACTACCCTTAGTTATGATTCGGTTTGTTTGCTTTATTATAACTTTATTAAGTTAATCAGTTTGCGTCTCCGATCTAATATACCGAGTGATGAAATCATGGCTGGTGTGTTGTTTTCTGTTTGTATAAGAGGGTAAAAGCAGACACGTTTATCACCTTAAATACGTGACTCAAATTAATTTCTGCAAATAATTTCCAGAATGTATAGTTCTTCTAAAACTGATCATTTGCCATATGGAGTTAACATTTAGATATTGTCCATACACCCATTTTCTATAACGGAAGTTATTTTTTTTTCTTTCTAAATTTTCTTGTTAATACTCACTGGAAACTGATCATTTAGAACTAATACAACATCCACTTCAAATTTTCTGCCATTTTCAAAGTATGAATTGTTGATTATTCATCTTAGTGTCTAATTCAATGATCGGCCCAACGGAAGATTATTGATTTTGACTATCTTAAATAATTGTATGAGTTTTTCTTTTAACAAACTCAAAGGTGTGTTACTTGATAACTTGTATAATGAAATTTAAGCGTAATCAAATGTGTTATATTTCTGCCCAAAGGTGATATGTGACACAATTTGCAGCCTAATTTTAATTTTAATATCATAATATTTGATAATTAAGATTAGCCAACGCAATGTTAGTTATTAAACATGATATGAATTTTTCCTATTATTTGGTGTTGATAATAGGCTTATTTACTAATAATTGACATGCCTTATTGTATTCCCTTATATATAATAAATAGCTTCTATTATTACCTCTGTTAAAACTTTTATTTCAGCATCTACTGTTACCCCATACAATTATGGGATAGAACCTCTAAATGGTACAAACTTCTCAACATGGAGAGAATCTGTAAAACTCTCACTTGGCATGATGGACCTCGACCAAGCACTGAGAATGGATCCACCGGATGCTCCTAACGCTGAGAGCACTGTGGAGCAGAAGCGTTCTTATGAACAGTGGGAGAGGTCCAACAGAATGTGCCTCATGGTGATCAAGAATTCCATATCTGTAGCTATTCGCGGAGCCATTCCAGACTCAGAAAATGAGAAAACCTACCTAGAATATGTGGAAGAACAGTTTAAGGGCACTTCTAAAGCACATGCTAGTACCTTGATTCTCAAAATGTTGACGAGTAAGTATGATGGAGTGAGTGGTATTCGTGAGCACATCATGAAAATGTCTGATATGTCCAATAAGCTCAAAAGTATGGACATGGAAATAAGTGAAGGTTTCCTCGTTCATTTCATAATGACTTCTCTACCTGCATCTTATGGTCCGTTCAAGATCAATTACAACACGCAGAAAGAGAAATGGACAATGAGCGAGTTGATTGCTATGTGCGTTCAAGAAGAAGAGCGCCTTAAAGTTGAAAGACCAGATGTTGCTCATCTCACCACCACAAACTCAAAGAAAAGGAAAGGCAATCGTCAAGGAGGAGGAAAAGGTAACATTTCTAAGGTCCCAAAGATAGGTGCAAGCGTGAGCTCCGGTCCTTACTGTAAGTTTTGTCGCTTCAAAGGGCATTACCAGAGGGAGTGCCCTAAGTTTAAGGCATGGCTGACTAAGAAAGGTAACTTAACCACCTATGTAATTTATGAATCATTAAACACATCAGTTCCCCTTAATACTTGGTGGATTGACTCTGGTTCAATGGTTCATGTTTCAAACACACCGCAGGGATTCCATTCAATCCGGACATTGGGAAGAAAGCAAAGAGTGATTAAGGTGGGCAACGGAGAAGAATTAGAAGTGGAGGCCATTGGAACTATCTCATTAATTTTAGAGAGTGGCTTCATTATTCATCTTCGTGATGCTCTTTATGTACCTAATATTACTCGTAATTTAGTGTCTGTATCAAAACTAAGTGCTGATGGTTTTACATTTAATTTCGTGTACAATAAAGTGACAATAAGCTTGAACTCAAATGTAATAGGATTTGGTAGCATGGAGGGAAATCTCTATAAATTATGCTTAGATACTAATTTTATGGAATCCCCTTTGTCATTTAATATAACTGAAAATCCTTGTAAGAGAAAGAGAGAATTGGAATCGTCGTCTAATTTGTGGCATCAAAGGTTGGGCCACATATCACGAGATCGAATGATAAGACTCGTGAAAGACGGAATTCTTCCAAATCTTGACTTCTCAGATTATGACAAGTGTGTGAAGTGTTTGAAAGGGAAATTGTCTAAGAAAATTAAGAAAGGCGCCACACGAAGCACTGGTTTGTTAGAATTAATACACACCGATATTTGTGGGCCTTTTCCCGATTCCATAAGTGGTCATAAGTCCTTTATTACTTTCATAGACGATTATTCACGCTATATGTACCTATATTTGATTAAGGAAAAATCCGAATCACTAGATATGTTCAAGGCTTATAAAGCTGAAGTTGAAAATCAACTTGATCGAAAAATCAAAGTAGTGAGATCGGATAGGGGTGGAGAGTTCTATGGTCGACACACTGATATTGGTCAAGCTACTGGATCTTTCCATGAATTTTGTAAAGATCACGGGATCATCAACCAATATACCATGCCCGGCACCCCTCAACAAAATGGGGTTGTTGAAAGGCGGAACAGGACTCTTATGGATATGGTCCGAAGTATGTTGGCTAACTCTAATCTTCCCCAAATCTTATGGACCGAGGCCTTAAAAACAGCAACCCACATACTTAATAGAGTACCATCTAAATCTGTCCCTAAGACTCCATATGAGCTTTGGACGGGCAGGAAACCTAGTCTAAGGTACCTAAACGTGTGGGGTTGTCCGGCTGAAGCAAAAGTGTATAATCCTCAATTGAAGAAACTTGACATGAGAACCATTAGTTGTTCCTTTATTGGCTATCCCGAGAGATCTAAGGGATATAGGTTCTATTGCCCATCTCATACCACCCGAATTGTCGAGACTCGACATGCTGAATTCCTTGAGAATACTAACATTAGTGGGAGTAGTAGTGGTTCAAACTTTTGTGATGAACTTCAAGAGGGAAATGGAATAAATCCACTTATTATACTGCCCATTCCACCTAACTCCTCACTTGAAGATCATAGTGAAAGTCATACACCTCATAATAATGATGCAACAAGTCAAGAGGCGAATGAAACTCCAATCAATGTTGAACCAACTCCACCGGTTACTAATGAAATTCTGGAAAATCAGCAACCCTTAAGGAGATCTCAAAGGGTCAGACGCCCCACAAATTTTGATGAATATTTGATATATTTGAATGAAGAAGCCGACTTTGATTTAGGGAAAGTCGTAGATCCTATATCTTTCCTTGATGCCATTAATTGTGACCAATCGACTCATTGGAAAGAAGCCATGAATGAGGAACTTCTTTCCATGGAGAAGAACAATGTTTGGGAACTTGCTGAATTACCAAAGGGTCATAAGCCCGTTGGAAGCAAATGGGTCTTCAAGACCAAATTAGATGCAAAGGGAAACATTGAAAGATATAAGGCAAGATTGGTCGCCAAGGGGTACACTCAAAGGGAAGGTGTAGATTATCAAGAGACCTTTTCACCCGTCTCTCGAAAGGACTCCCTAAGGGTCGTTATGGCTTTAGTAGCTCATTTTGATCTTGAGCTACATCAAATGGACATCAAAACAGCCTTCTTAAATGGAGATTTACACGAAGATGTTTATATGATACAACCAGAAGGTTATGTTTCTAAGGGTCAAGAACATCTAGCTAGTGTGTAAACTCAAGAAGTCTATTTATGGGCTCAAGCAAGCATCTCGACAATGGTACCTTAAATTTAATGAAGTCATGAAATCAAATGGCTTCATTAAAAAAAAGTAGATCAATGCACTTACCTCAAAATGAGTGGGAGCAAATTCATCATACTTGTGTTATATGTTGATGACATCTTATTAGCAAGTAGTGACTTGGATTTGTTGCATGAAACAAAACGCTTATTATTTGGCCATTTTGACATGAAAGATCTAGGTGAAGCTTCTTATGTTATAGGCATTGAAATTCACCGAGACAGAGTCAAAGGGACGTTAGGACTGTCCCAGAAGGCATACATTGAGCGCATTTTAGAACGTTTCAACATGCAACAATGCTCTCCATCAGTTGCTCCAGTAGTTAAGGGAGACGTTTTTGGGTCATTCCAATGCCCAAAAACCGAGGTTGAGAAAGAGCAAATGAAACTCATTCCTTATGCTTCCGTAGTTGGAAGCTTGATGTATGCACAAGTTTGTACTCGTCCAAATATCGCATATGTATCTGGTATGTTGGGTAGATATCAATCTAACCCAGGATTAGAGCATTGGAAAGCCGCTAAGAAAGTTTTGCGGTATCTTCAAGGGACTAAGGAGTACAAATTGACTTATGAGAGGTCTAATAATTTAGAAGTGGTTGGATATTCCGATTTCGATTTTGCTAAGTGCAAAAACGATAGGAAGTCTACTTCGGGATACATTTTCTTGCTGTCAGGTGGGCCAATATCTTGGAAAAGCCACAAGCAAAGACTTACAACTACTTCAACAATGATGGCTGAATATGTTGCGGTGTACAACGCAACATGTCATGGGATGTTGTTAAGGAATCTTATCAAAGGATTCAAAGTAGTGAATTCCGTCTCAAGACCACTAAGGATTTATTGTGACAATTCCGTGGTCGTGAGCTTCTCAAACAATAACAGTTCGAGTGGAGCGGGATTGTTCCTCGATACAAAATATTTGTTCGTTCGAGAAAGAGTGGAGGAAAACGAAATTTGTATCGTACACATCAGCACAAATTGTAACACCGCCCCCGAGTATTTGTACTGTACCAAATTATGTATTGAACCTTGAGAAATGTATAAAAGCATTTTTACGTGATTGTAAATTTTTATCATTTCTATTACGTGAATAGTAAAATTCACGTGGGGCCCGCACCGGATGTGGGGCCGCCCGATATTATCGGGACCACATATTATATTAACCTCGGACTAGATAATATGTATATGGTGATGTATATCCTAATTGGGCCATGGCAATGGCATAGAGTTGACCGGTTGGTCAAACAGGGCCAAATTATCGGTATCGGCAATTTATGAGATAACAGCCCAAAAAGGGATTCCGGAGATTTCTAAATTTAATCTGGGGAATCATATTGATTCTAAGGTCCAATAAGGATTTGGGAACAAGTGTTATATTTTATTTGACCCGATAAAATAAAATATACTTAAAACAGTCCGGAAAATACAACTTTCGGGACCAATTGTACACTCCGGGACACAAAGGGTTGACCTCCCACATGAGTGGGGGCCAACCCACGTCCTTAAGCTGGTAAATGCATAGGGGAGCCGCACCTTTAGGATGCTGGAAGGGAGTGAGAAGGGGGGGTGGAGACAAGGTGTGAAAGGAAGGGGGTCCCTCCCTCATATCATTGGTGAATGATCCAAAAAGGACACTCTCAACCACCCCAGCCCATACACTGCGTCCCAACCATCATTTTGGAGGAGAGAAGCTCTGCAAAAACTCCATTTTCATCCATCATACACGCACCAAGTTGAGGGAGGAAGAAGAAAGGAAAAAGAGAAGAGAAAAGAGGAGTTTAGGTGGGAAAACTTGTGTTTAGCACGGTAAGGACCCCATTAATCCCATTTCGTTGTCTTTAATCCTCTTATATGATTATTCAATCATATTTCACACCCTAGGATTGTTCTACACGTTGGGATGTGTAGAAAGAGGGGTTGGAAGGTGGTTCTAGGTCCAAGAACGGACTTAGAAGCCAAAGTAACCGGTTCGCCGGAAAATAACCTTTTGGAGGTTATTTGTATTACTATGGGTTTTGTGATGGTAAAACCTTGTTAGTAACTCTTCTAAGGTATTCAAGGAACTTTCACGGAGTCGAAAAGGTCGCCGGAGTTGCCGCCGGAGTTCGTTGAAGTTCGTCGGAGTTTCGCCGGAGCTAAATCGGGAAGGCTAGAACTTCATAAGCTTCATTAAGGTGAGAAGACGGCTTTATGCTTTATAACTTTTGCGTTAGGAATGAGATTACCTAAAGTAATCAAGGATATGTTTTGTGGAATGATTAAAGATAATCAAGTATTTGCTTATGCCATGATTTTGCATAAAACATAGTTGAAAAGCATGTTATGGAGGTTTGGTGATTAAAAATGTGATAATATATTTTGTGTGATGATCCAGGGATCCAAAATGGTATTTGTGGATCAGGGACATCAAGAAGTATATGTGTATAAAATTTCAAGTTAATCGGACTCCGTTTGGGGGGTCAAAAGGGGCGTTGACCGCCAAGTCAACTGCCATACCCGACCGGGTATTGACATATACCCGACCGGGTATTTGCTGAAAAATTGCCCTAGGGGCTACTGTCTCCTATACCCGATCGAGTATAGGTAGATACTCGATCGAGTATACATGGAAATCTAGATTTGGGGGCTACCGCCTCCTGTACTCGACCGAGTATGGGTAGATACTCGATCGAGTATTGGTTTATGCTCAAAACGGGCAGTTTTGAGCGGGTTAATGTGGGCCGTTCAGGTGGGACCCACCCACATTGGTTCCTAAGGATGGTTATATGACTATAGGGCTAGGTATTGTCCATAGTTGAAGGAACGAAAGGTTAGCCATATCCAGGTTAGGGTTTGGTAAGGATTTAGTTTGGGGTTGAGTATCCCCGGGACATGCAAATGATCCTGAAACTCGGTTGGGGTTGAGCATCCCCGGGACTATAAATGATCCTGAAACTCGGTTGGGGTTGAGCATCCCCTGGACATTAAATGATTCTGAAACTCGGTTGGGGTTGAGC